GAACATATATAATGACTCTGGAAAGGATACCTCAGTTTTAACAGTCTTTTGAAGATTAATTTTATGCAATAAAATCAGTCTAATTGAAACTGTACCATTTAATATGTTTTGAAACCTCAATACTTTTACAAAAGGAACTCTACTCAAATACATTCAATGTAATCCAAATAAAATTCCCAGTAGAATTCTTTTTGTGGAGATGGACGAGTTTGTCCTCAATTTCTCTTGAAAGACAAAATAGGTAAAATGTGTAAGAAGTATTTGAAAAATAGAAACCATAAATTGGTCCTTTGTCTACCACGTATCAATACATACTTGAAAAACACAATAATTAAAATAGTATGCATTTATGCAGGAATCGACAAAAAAGATCAATTGAGTGAAAACAACTTTAAGATAGTCCTGTGTACATGAAGATTTATTCTGTGATCAAGAAAATCAATGGGAGAAAGGGCATACTACCAGGAAAATTGACATGGAAAAATATTAAATGAAATTTTTACAGTACGAGTAAAATTATATTTTAAATGGCTTAAAAACCTAAACAAATTACAACCTATAAAAATACTCTAACATAAAATAATATTTGTAATTTATGCAAAACTCAGAAACGCTATAAAAATGTTGACAATTTTGACCAGCTAGAAATAGGAAAGTTTTCTGGCACAAAAGGTAACAGAAACTTGAAAAAGAAGTGACAGGCTATAACACGTCTAATAAACACGATATTAAAATTGAAAATTTAAAACTGACAAAGAGCTCCTATAATCGGATCAAAATAAAACATAATAAAAATGTACAAAGAGTATTAACAGAAAATTCATAAAGAATAAACAATATGAGAAGATGTTAACCGGGAAAAAACTTTAAAAAGGCTGGGCATGGTGACTCACACCTGTAATCCCAGCACTTTGGGAGGCTGAGATGGGTGGGTCACTTGTGGTCAGGAGTTCAAGACCAGCCCCACCAGTATGGTGAAACCCCTTCTCTATTAAAAGTACAAAAATTAGCCAGGTGTGGTGGTGGGTGCCTGTAGTTCTAGCTGCTCAGAAGGCTGAGGCAGGAGAATCACTTGAACCCAGGCCACAGAGATTGCAGTGAGCAGAGATTGAGCCACTGCACTCCAGCCTGGGCGTCACGGAGAGACTTTATCTCAAAAAATAAAAAAAAAATGTTGAAAAACTCTAAGAGATTATTGAATGACCACATACTTGGAAAATTTAGAAATGATTGACCTTCTATGGTAATGGCAAGGATGAGGGAATAGGGGACTTTTATATCATGTAACCCCTACCCCAATCCAAATCTAGAATAATTCCATCACTTAATAATTCAATGTGAACCCTTGCAATCAAGCCCTTCCTACCACTAATCTGATTGTTATCTATCTGATTTCTATTACTACAAATGAGATTTGCCCGCTTTTGAACTTCACATAAGTGGAATCATTTAGTATGTGCTCTTGTATCTGGCTACTTCAGCTCCACATAATGTTTTATAGATTTCATTATGTAATTGCGTAGATCAGCAGGGTTTTTAAATTACTGAGTAGTATCTCATTGTATAAATATACCACGATTTGTTCATTCTTTTACTTTTTCATAGTTTTGGGGTATGTTCAGTTTTAGATTATGAATTGTTGAAAAATGCTATCCTTTTCCCCATTGAATTATCTGGGTAACTTGTAGAAAGTCAATTGACCCCATATAGTTGGATCTATTTTTTTTTAACTTTTAAGTTCAGGGGTACATGTGCAGGTTTGTTATACAGCCAAACTTGCATCACAGGAGTCTGTTTTACAGATTGTTTCATCACCCAGATGTTAATCCTGGTACCATTAGTTATTTTTCCTGATCCTCCCCCTTCTCCCATCCTCTACCTTCTGATAGGCCCCAGTGTATGTTGTTCCCCTCTATGTGTACAGGCGTTCTCCTGTACACCAACAATGGTCAAGCAGAGAGCCAAATCAGGAGTGTACTTCCAAATCAGGAATTCACAATTGCCACAAAAAGAATAAAATACCTATGAATACAGCTTACTAGGGAGGTGAATGGTCTCTGCAAGGAGAACTACAAACCACTGCTCAGAGAAATCAGATTACACAAGTAAATGGAAAAACATTCCATGTTTATGGATGGGAAGAATCAATATTATTAAAATGGCCATATTGCCCAAAGCAATTTATAGATTCAGTGCTATTCCTATTGAACTAAACGAAACTAAACATTGACATTCTTCACAGAACTAGAGAAAATGATTTTAAAATTCATATGGAGCCAGAAAAGAGCCCTAATAGTCAAGGCAATCCTAAGCAAAAAGAGCAAAGCTGGAGGCATCACTTCAAACCATACAACAGGGATACAGTAACCAAAACAGCATGGTACAAAAACAGACACATGGACCAATGGAAGAGAAAGAAGAGCCCAGAAATAAGATTGCATATGTACAACTATCTAATCTTCAACAAAACTGACAAAAACAAGCAATGGGGAAAGGATTCCCTATTCAAGCAATGGTGCTGGGATAACTGGTTAGCTAAATGCTGAAGATCAAGACTGGACACCTTCCTTATGCCATAGACAAAAATTAACTCAAGATGGTTGGGTCTGTTTCTGGACTCTATTCTGTTCTATTGATCTATATGTCTCCTACTTAACCTACTCTTCCTAAAATGTTAGAATCATTCTATTTCGGTCACATCATTTTTTCCTGATATATTTTTATAGCTGTATTGTCTTTTCCAACCCGTCCATACCTGAAAGCAATCTTTTTATCTACTTTATTATAGCAGTGAACTTTGGTCTCTGCAATGCTGTTTGCCTTAAATTCAACTTTGTTATTAAAATATAAAGCACGTGGAAAAGGGGAATCTCAATCTTGACGGGGAAGCCAGGTGGGAGGCGCAGGGTGATGAAAGTCATGCAGCTTGGCAAAGTGAGCTTTGCTGATGGCCATTAGGTTGATGATGGGTGTCACCTGGTCACCCGGGGAGAGCGGGTGCTCCTCACTCAGTCAGAGTGTTGCCTTGAACCTCTGGACTTTGTTGGACATCTCGAGGGGGAGGCCAATGTTCCGTGACTCCAGGATGAAGCTGGGGTCGAAGTACTCCTCAGAGGAGATTGCTGTGGGGTTGGTGGGGCTGGCTGCCTTCTGCATGGGGGCCCCAGTGTGGGAGGAGTGCTGCTGGGCCATCCCCAGGAAGGACTGCAACGGAGTCTTCCCCCCTTTGCTCCTCGACTTGTCCTGGTCAGAGAGGTGCTCCATGTATGTGCGTGTCACCAGCTCCACGTTGGTGGCACTGTATACCTTGGCCTCGTAGCTGCTAACAGTTTCCATCTTCTCAGATCGCCAGCCCCAGATACCACATTTATTCCTCTGGAAGGCCACATTCCGAGTGTCCAGGTGGGTGGAGACGATAGAAGTGAGGCAACTGGCCACGTCCTCCTCGCTCGGCCGCATGGCCGCCAGCAGTGCTTCAGGCTCCTGCAAAGTGAGCCCCAGCGTCTCTGCGTGCACCACCTGCTGGTCATGGTCCACTTCCATCACCACGGCTCCTGCCTCCTTCCTGGCCCTTGAAGATGAAGCTCCTCCGGCCCCGCTGCCAGGTCATGTGCTCAAAGCCCAGGAGACTGGTGTCCACTCGCAGGCTCTCACCCCGCTTCCACACGCGGTACACATCGCTCAGGCACCTCTTGGACACAAGGGGCACCCAGCTGGTGAACTTCCACTTCATCTCCACATAGAAATCAGGGGCCTGGCGAAGTTTGCTGAGCAGTTCTGGAATGCCCGCCAGCCTCTGCGTGGCACTCTAGTAGTCCCGATACTGGAGCACCGGCTGCACCATCTCGGGGTCTCCAGTGCTGACTGCCTCCTGCAGGACTGCCCAGCCCTTGCGGTTCTCTTTGCCCACGTTAGCATTGTGCCGAAGGAGCACTCGCACGGACTCCAGGTTTCCCAGAGACACGGCCAGCTCCAAGGGGGCCCGCCCGCGGGGATCTTCCTGTTCAATGTCGTGCTGGCGGCTGTGCACTGCGGCCTTAGTTCGCGGTGCCGGTTCGCCCAGACGAGCGGGTGCAGCGGGAAGGTGGGGCCCGGGCCGGCCATGCTGGGCTTCAGCGCCTCATCCCGGCCCCGCCTCGGCTTCGGGCCTGGGGCGACTCCCTCGCCTCCCCTAGGGGCCGCGCCCCAGCTGCGACCCCCGCGGCCCCCGCAGCAGTGGCGGCGGTGGAGGCGGCGGCGGCAGCAGCGGCGGCGCGGGCGGCGGGGCCTGTAATCCCAGCTACTCGGGAGGCTGAGGCAGGAGAATTGCCTGAACCTAGAAGGCGGAGGTTGCGGTGAGCCGAGATCGCGCCATTGCACTCCAGCCTGGGTAACAACAGCAAAACTCCGTCTTAAAAAAAAAAAAAAAAAAAAAAAGAATTTTAAATAGCAAATGAGTAAACTGGTAAACAACAGAAAGGACCCCAGTGTCTCTAAACCTCTTCCAAGAAATAGGCTTCATATTTATGAGGTAGGAGACTGTGAAGTAATTGCAAATCCCTGTTCAAAGTCCCTTAGGTTTAGAAATAATGCTTGCTTGTGATTTGTCGTATCAGTGTCCTAATCAAGATAAAAGGAAAAGCTGTTCAGATGTTCCTATGACCTGTCCCGAGCGAAGCTGTTAAAAATAGAACAGGCCAGGTGCAGTGGCTCACGCCTGTAATCTCAGCACTTTGGGAGGCCGAGGAGGGTGGATCACCTGAGGCCAGGAGTTCGAGACCAGCCTGGCCAACATGGTGAAACTCCTGTTTCTACTAAAAATATAAAAATTAGCCAGATGTGTTGGCACATGCCTGTAATTCCAGCGGCTCGCGAGGCCGACATTCTTATCGCTCGAACCTGAGCGGCGGAGGTTGCGGTGAGCTGAGATTGCTTCATTGCACTCCAGTCTGGTTGCCGGAGCAAGATCTCACAAAACAAAACAAAACAACCTGTTCCATTGCAGCAGTCATCCAGTGCTGCTAGCAGAGACTTAGACGGTAAGTCCAGGGCAAGCAACCCACTGCTGAGTTCAGAGGCACTGAAGCTGTTTGAAGAGGTGAAGAATCTTGGCTGGAAGCGGTGTACATTATACCTGATATTATTGTTGATAAAGAATGAAGGGAGAGCAAAATCTTTTAATAGGATTGTCTAGGGGGGTCCTATAATTTCCATTTTATTGCAATATAGAGAATTAAAGAATGCTTTCATCCAGCGAGAGGATAAGGTACAACCTTGGCTGAGTCTAACACATTATGTTAAGGAAGTAGCCTTTTATTTTATTCTGAACTTTGATCAGGAATTTGATTTTTAAAGATGTCTTTTGCCTCTGATGAGGTAATCCTAAATTTTTAAATCGAACATATTAGCATGAATTTAAATATGAAAAGATGGTTTATTGGTGTTTTAGACAACATTTTGATATCTGTTTTCACAGATAGAATGGGTCTATAATTTTATTCATGTCTTTCGTTTTTATTCTTCAGTAAATCAGGTAGCTATTTTAATTTGACTTAATTTTAGGTTCTGGAATACTGTATAGAGCCTGGGGATTATTCCTTGAAAGTTCAAAAAGGGAATAAGCTTCCCCACCCAAGGACTTCTAAAATTGTAATATAGTGCACAAATCCTTAAGCATACAGCTTGCTGAATTTGACACCTGTCAAATTCGGATTAAGGTATAGAGGATTTATGTCACTTCAGAAATCTTCCTTGTGCCCCCTCCTTGTCAGTCCCTATCCACATCCAGAGGTAGCAACTACTCTGGTTTCTATTACCAGAGATGAGATTTGCCAGCTCATGAACTTTAAATAGATGGAATCATACAACATTTTTTTGAGTCTGGATTCTTTTGCTCAACATAATGTTTTAAAGATTTATCTATGTTGTGTGAATCGGCAGAGTTCAGTCTTTTTCACTGCTACATAGTATACCATTGAAATGATTATGCCATGCTTTATTTATTCCTTCTGCTGATGAACATTTGGATTTCTCAGTTTTAGCTGCTATGACTAAAGCTTCTGTGAAAATTCTAATGCACACCTTCTGCTGGACACTTGTTTTCATTTATTTTGGATACCTCAGGAGCAAAATTTCTGGACTGTAGATTGGGCAAATATTAAAACGTTGGGAACCACAAACAGTTCACAAAGCAGTTTTATTCTTTTTTTTTTTTTTTTGAGACAAAGTTTCACTCTCGTTGCCTATGCTGGAATGCCATACTGCAATCTTGGCAGGGTGCAATGGTGCAATCTTGGCTCACTGAACCTCTACCTCCTGGGTTCAAGCAACTCTCCTGCCTCAGCCTCCTGAGTAGCTGGAATTACAGGCACCTGCCACCATGCCCAGCTAATTTTTGTGTTTTTAGTAGAGACAGGGTTTCACCATGTTAGCCAGGGTGGTCTCAGACTCCTGATCTCAGGTGATCCACCTGCCTTGGCCTCCCAAATTGCTGGGATGACAGCCGTGTCCAGCCAGTTTTATTCTTTTACATTCTTACTAGCAATATATGAGGGTGTTAATTGCTCCACATCCTGACTAACATCTGATATTATCAATCTTTGATTTCTAGCCATCTGGTGGGTATGTAGTAGTACCTTATTATGATTTTAATTTGTATTTTCCTGATGAATAATAATGTTGAGCATGTTTTCATATGCTTATGGTCAGCTTCAAGACTTTCATTAGAGATGATTTTTTTTCAGTTTATTTTATATTGCTCTTTATTTTCCCTTCTTAAATACTTATTTTAATGGTCTATTCAGACATTGTATATATTATTGAGCCAGCTTTTGCTGTTTGTCTTTGCTTAGAAAAGTCTTATTTTGATTTTTAAATTTACTTGAGTTTTAGAAAGATTAAAAATACCTTCTTTTGTTGATTATATTCTTTTTTTAAAACAATTCTGAATGTTGTATCTTTGCCTCGATTTTTTAAAAAATTGGGTTTCCCAATTTTGTCTATTTTGCTGATCTTTGGAGAAAAAACTTTCAAATTATTTTATTAACTTTACTGTTTTTCTGGTTCCATTTTGTTAATATATGTTTTGTTAATCACTTAATCCTATTTATTTGAGTTTTCGCCACTCTTTTTCTCTCCTTTTCAGCTTATACTTTATTGATTTATTTTCCTGTTTAGTTTTTAAGTAAGTCAAGCATTAATTTTTCTTCTGTGATGAATACTATATGTAGTATTTGTAGTTTTTTTTTTTAATTTCTTTTCTTTTTTTTTTTTTTTTTGAGATGGAGTTTCTCTCTTGTTACCCAGGCTGGAGTGCAATGGCGCGATCTCGGCTCACCGCAACCTCCGCCTCCTGGGTTCAGGCAATTCTCCTGCCTCAGCCTCCTGAGTAGCTGGGATTACAGGCACGCACCACCGTGCCCAGCTAATTTTTTGTATTTTTAGTAGAGACGGGGTTTCACCATGTTGACCAAGATAGTCTCGATCTCTTGACCTCGTGATCCACCCGCTTCGGCCTCCCAAAGTGCTGGGATTACAGGCGTAAGCCACCGCGCCCGGCCCTTTTTAAATTTCTTAATGGAGCATTGTTACTTTATTGATTGCTTCTTGGACACAAAGGCTGTTTAGGAGAGTCTTAATATAATTTCACAGCATTATGTTCAGGTAATGTGGTCTTTACAATTTCTATTTTTGGGCTGTAACCTTATAAGAAGTTGTGGTACTTTATTATCCATCATATGTTATGTGGAATAAAGAAGGATGATGATATCATTAAGTGAAGACCAAATGACGTGCAGACAAGCGACTCTCAAGGTGAGGGAGATAGACATGGTCCTTGCCCTCATGAAGGTTCCTCTCTAGAGGCTGCCTTATGTTAAGCAGCCCAGTGAGATTTGAGCTCACAAATTGCTCATTTAGAAGACTGGGGCTGTAATTTCCTGGCTAGAGAAAAAGTGAATGCCAGACCACTGGGAGAAGCCCAGCATTGATCATCTCTTTGGTTTCTTGAGTAAATATAGGTAATTTATGTTATTTTTATCTCTATGAAAATAAATCATTTCATTAAAGTCATCAGATTTATTGGCAGTGTTTTAAGGAAGTTTTACTCTCCTCTGAGTCAATGGTTGTATCTTGTCTTCATGCCTTCCTAGTGGCATTGACGGGTCTTTCCTGTTCTTGGGACCCATTGACCATTCTTCATCCTCCCTCTTCCTGCCTAGGTCAAGAAAATCTCTTTCGCATTTGCTATAAAGAAACTTCACTTCACCTCCCAATTCTGGCCAAGATATTATTTATCTATACCATCAAATTCTGTCTTCCCTCTAGGGCTCAGCCTTTTGGAAATAAAAGCCGGGAGAACGTGTGGACTTTTTTTACATCTTTATCTTATGGCAATGAACATGGAGCTGACTACCTACCTGAACAGGGAGGAAGGAACAGTGGAAAAAAATAAAACAAAATCTTCAACGATTAATGTCTCACAAACGAGTCTGTCTGTAACTCTTTCAAGGTAATCACAAATTGAGAGTTTAAGGACTATGTTTAATTTCCCAATCTGTAAATTGATTTATATGCACCATGTATTTCACAGTATCCAATGCTTTGGGTTTTTTTGTTTTTGGTTTTTTGGTTTTTTTTTTTTGAGATGGAGTTTTGCCCTTGTCACCCAGGCTGGAGGGCAGTGGCACGATCTCGGCTCACTGCAACCTCTGCCTACTGGGCTGAAGCGATTCTCCTGCCTCAGCCTCCCGAGTAGCTGGGATTACAGGTGTGTGCGACCACGCCTGGTTATTTTGTATTTTTAGTAGTGACGGGGTTTAACCATGTTGCCCAGGCTAGGCTTGAACTCTTGACCTCAGGTGATCCTCCTGCCTCGGCCTCCCAAAGTGCTGGGATTACAGGTATCCAGCACCCGGCCTGTTTGTTGTTGTTTTCTCTTTCCTTCTTTTTAGTATTTTATTTATTTATTTGCCACCTTTATTTTAGATATGGGGTACATAGGCAGTTTCGTTACAAAGGCATATTGGGTGATGTTGAGTTTTGAAGCACAATTGAGCCCATCGCTCAGATAATGAGTGTAGTCCCCAACAGGTAGTTTTTCAGCCCTTGCCCCACACTCCTTTCTGCACTGTGACACTAGCAGTCCCCAGCATCCAGTGCTCTTGTGCGCTTCCACCAAAGAAGGATCTTTTGCTTGCCCTCCGGCTATGTTCTCTGACCAAGACACCCTGTAGGTATCTCTCTTTAATCATCAGAGGTGTCGATAAAAAACATTTCCTACTCCTTCCCCGGAGTGCTTCACTCTCAGTACTCATTTTGTCTATGCTACCATCTGTAAGACTCTCTCCTAATAATACATACTAACCTGCAATGTGTAATCAGCCCTAGAATCCCTCCTGGGTAAAAGCAAAGGTCTGAAGTTAGACCATCTGGGCTTAAGTCTAGATTCTTTGCTTCACAGATGGGAGATGTCAGACAAGTTACTTACTGAATATAAATATCGTTTGAAAGATGAAGATAATAGTACCTATCTCATAAGATTGCTATGAAGAGTAAACCTCTGCATGTTAAGCTTTTATCTCACTGTTTGGCAAGAGTAAGCACTGACAAATGTTGCCATCGTCTTATCATCATCTTCATCATGATAGTTATCACCTCCATCACCATCATCATTATTCTGGAGTGCTAAGGATGGTGACTGGTTTTCTAGCTGGTATGCTATTTGCATCCCTAAGCTAGCAGCAAACCAAAGTGTTTTCTTAGATTACTTCTTACCTACTTTCAGACCATAATTATCTAATCCCACCCATGGCACGGTTATGGAACATCCTTATAGAATCCTGGAATACTGTTACATTTGATTCATAACTTTATATGCTCTTGTAGTTTTTCTTTATATAAATATTTATTTGTATACTTGAGAGAGAACAAATAAAGTACTGAAATTAACTCCTGACTTACGGGAATTTAATTAAAAGATCTTTCAGAAAGCTCTGCAATGTATACATGCATGTGTTAGTATATAGGTTTCTACTTTTTTTTTTTTTTTTTTGAGACGGTGTTTCACTCTTGTTACCCAGGCTGGAGAGCAATGGCACGATCTCGGCTCACCGCAACCTCTGCCTCCTGGGTTCAGGCAATTCTCCTGCCTCAGCCTCCTAGGTTTCAACTTTTATATAAATTATTATTAATTCACTTTTCTCTGGGATAGTGACTCTAAAGGCTAAAGTATGTTTTGAAACAGTAGGTGCAATATTGAAGATTAGTAGTGAAGTATTAACAGCACTTAAGCTTGGCACTGCCAATGCAGCCCCCACAGCACGTGCAGGGGGAGTTTTCTCAAGTTTTGCCAGGGGAGAGTCCATTGTGCCTCTTGGCCTTACCGCTGTAACTCAGGTGTGATCTAGCCTAAGGCTTGACATGTCATGGGTGTTCCACGATTATTATTCAAGGTGGAATAACTCACTCTTACCTTGGAGTTTATTGTACTCAAAGAATGTGCAGTCATCCTTAGTTCCCGGAGAAATAAATCCAAAGTCCACAGCCACTTCAGTGTTTTGCTTCCGCCAAATGTATCGGTTCAATGAGGAATATACTCTAATTTATTATGTACATGTTCTTATGGTTTTTTACTCTCCAGGATCATTATTTCTCATCTTAGCAACCTATTCAGCTCTTAGTCTTCTTTTCATGTTTTGACTCTTCACTTAATAATCATATTCTGAAATTATCTCTTCTTTCTGAAGTAAGTGTACAAACCATTTGTTAGATAATAATGAATTACTTGTTTTGATAATGTTCATATTTTGGATGAGAATTCCTCTTTTGAATTAAAAACACACATTATGGAATGAATGAGAGTTCTGTTATACACTGTTTAATTTATAGGCAGTAAAATGGTGGCCCAGAGGATAGATTAAGGTAACATAACAGAATGACTAGAATATATCTGTGACTCCCAGGTAGGTGTTTTTTCCCCTTGGAATATTCTGCTAAAATAATTTGAAGCTTTGTTTATTTCTTTTCTTACCATGTATAAGTGTCTTAAAAACAGGTGCTCTCTAATCTCTGTAATGCCTGGGTCAGTGCCTTGCATCTGTTAAATGTAAAATGAATATATTTCTGTGATCAATGAACAAGATGAAAACCCCTACTATGCTAAAAAATAATAAAAATAAAAATTTATGGATTTAAATACATTTTCATGTTTTAAAAATCAATTTACACATTTAAAAAATCCCATCTTAAAAAATCTTCCTAATAATGCAAATGTTGACTTCATTTCTTCAAAATATTTTTACTGATTACTAAAGTAATACTGGAAAACATCCAAACAACAAAGAAATAAAGCAGAATGTAAGGGGCCCCCACAGTTCCGCTCCTCTCCCTCATAAAGGCAGTCAGAAGTTGAGGAGTATTACTCCAGATATTGCCCATGAACAGACTACCATCACATATAATCAGTAAGTAGGGCTAAGTTATACATGAAATTTTAAAATTGTTTTCATTTAAAATGAATTCTGATTTCATCAATATAAAGAGATGTAACTTCTTTAGAAGCTATACAGTATTTTGTTGAATCAGTGCATTTATCATAATTTATTTAAATCATCTGCTTTTGATAAACATTTGGGTTGTTTTCAGTTTTTAATTATTTTGAACAATGTTCAATTTTATATTTTGGTCCATATATTTTTTGGGGTTTTTTTTCTGTGTTTCTATGACACATTCTTAGAAATGGGCGTGTTAGATCAGAGGACACCAACATTTTATACTGAGATCGAAATTGCCAGATTGCCTCCACAAAAGTTCTACTATAAACTCCCTCCAAAAGTAAATGACAGTGGCTGTTTCTTTACAATGTCCCCAACGTGGATATTTTGCTTTCAAAATTTTTGTCACTCTCATATCCAAAATATCAGATTTTCCTATTTTTAAATTGGATATCCGTATGTATCAGTGAAGTCAAATATCTCTTTATATTCATTAGCCACATTTTCTTTCATGTATTATTTGTGCATGTTGCTTTGATATAATGTTTTTCTTATAATGGATGGTGTCACTTTGTCTGACTTATACATGACATTTCTCTCAGCTTGTTATTCATGCATTGGTAGGGTGTATTTTCTCCTTATTAGAGGTTTTAAATTTCAATGTAGATGAATGTTTATTTTTACTCTCTGATTTTTTAAACATGTTTAAAAATGACTTTTTAGATGTTTTTCTATCTAAATTATGTCATCCCGTTTTTTCTCTAGTTCTTGTACAGTTTTAGTTTCTACACCTCTTATTTTTGATTCCCTTGAAATTTGGTTTAATGAAAATTGTCATATTTCTCTTCTCCTCTTCCCCAGCAAGTCAGTTGTCCAAACCTTCACTAATTAAAAAATATTATATTTATATTAAGCATTCATATATATTTATATATACATGTATACTTATATACACACACATATATACATAGGTACGGCTGACACACCGCTGCTGCAGTCATAACACATGGTTCCCAGGAGGTAGCTCTCAGTGATGCCCAGAGCCACTTAACTATCCACCTTACTAAATTCTCATGGTTTTTAATAAGGATTTTCAGTGAAATGTTTTGGGTATCAGAGATTTACAATTCAAAGCTAACAAATTTCTGATAAGTATGCTTACTCCTTTCGAATATTTAGTTATATTCTTTCTCCTTTTCTAATTCCACTAAACACTACTTCAAGAATAATGTCAAGTTTACCTCTGAACTCTATTTGATTGATGTAATTTTATTTTTGTACTAGTACTATGTAAGGTATTTCATAATAGCACATTTTAAGTATCTGTGTGACGAGCCCAGCTCAAAATTCTCTTTCAAAACTTTCTTGACATGTTTATTCTTTCAAATATGCTTAAGATCTATTTTGTTAAATTTCAGTGAAAATGTTTTGGAGAAATTACATTGTATTTTCATCACACTACTGGTACCACACGGAGTTATACATTTATTATGGAAAATTGGCTATTTGTTAAGAAGCATTTGCTATTTATACAGTTGTCTTACAAATTATAAATAAGAAATATTTTGGCACTTACTCAAGCTTTCTTAACTTAGTTGAATTCTGTAAATTTCTTAATTTGGTATGTGTGCATTACGTTCTACTGTTACTCCTCAGTGTCTTACATGTTTAAAGTATGTTAGAAGGGGTTCACTCTTGTGTTTTCTGACAGGTCATTTTTTGTACATAGAAAAGTTACTGTTTTGTATATCACTTTGCAACAATCCACCTTACTAAATTATCGCAGTTTTTAATAAGGATTTTCAGTTAAATGTCTTGGGTATCAGAGATTTACAATTTAAAGCTAACAAAATTCTGATAAGTATGCTTACTCCTTTCAAATATTCAGTTATATTCTTTCTCCTTTTTTAATTCCACTAAACACTACTTCAAGAATAATGTCAAGTGACAGTGTTTCTGACAAGAGTTTAGATGTTG